CATGAAACTGGAGGGCTAGTCAGTAGGATGGAGTGGCGGGTAAAGGAATCAAGGTTAGAAGGGGGCCATATAGTTAGAAATAAGTTCAAAAATACTAGCTTACACTCCCCTTAAAATTAGTTTTTAAGGGTAATAATTTTAAGTCTATAATAGATGTGTAACTTATAACCTCTATATAACTACAGGAAACTTAGACAAAAGTTATTGCATAGAATTCTAGGATTGTCATTCAGTATAGCTGATGGCAGTATGGTTTAATCTACCAGTTGTAGATTTTTGTTGAATAAGGAATCCTTATTTATTTTTTCTCTCTTCATTTCTACTTTGCTATAAATAAGTAGATGCAGCTATTTTAGAATGAATTGGTCATTGTGTTTGAATTACATTAAACTTACAGGTTCAATCTCTCACTATTTAACATCATAATTTTATTTTTAAATCTTGGGAGAAGTGCTAATTGCTTGGGTTATTTTTTGTTTGTATGTTTGTTTGTTTTAGGGCTACCCCTGGTGTTGCTCAGGGGTTACTGCTGCCTTGCACTCAGGAATAACTCCTTGGGGTGTGGGAATTGAACACAGGTTGGCTGCATTCAAAGCAAGTACCCTGCCTGCTCTGCTATCTCTCAGGCCCCATCTAATTGCTTGTTAAGGATAAGCACACTTACTATTTTTTTCATCCATTGCTTTAAGAATGACAGATACTATTTTTTAATGAATCACCGTGAGATACAATTAGAGACTTAAAACTTTCGTGCTTATTTTTCAATTATACAATGATCGAATACCCATCCCTCCACCAGTGCCCATTCTCCACCCCCACTGATCCCAGTATCCCTCCCCCCTCCCCCATCCCACCCTGCCTGTGTGGCAGGGCATTCCCGTTTGTTATCTCTCTCCTTTTGAGTGCTGTGATTTGCAAGAGACATTGAGTACCAATTATGTTCAGCTCTGATAGAGAAGGGAGCACCAAATAAAGGGTGTTGGGAGGTTCCTCTCAGAATGGGAGATGTCTGATGAGAGTAGACTATAGTATGAGCTTCCTTTTCCCCCAGCACGTGAGGCCAGCTTCAAAGCCGTGGAGCAGACCTCCTGGTCCTTATCTCTACTATCCTTGGGTGTTAGTCTCCCATTATGTTACTTTACATTCCACTAATGAGTGCAGTTATTCTGCGTCTGTCCTTCTCTTTCTGACTCATTTCACTTAGCATGATACTCTCCATGTTTATCCACTTATATGCAAATTTCATGACTTCATCTTTTCTAACAGCTACATAGTATTCCATTGTGTAGATGTACTAGAGTTTCTTTACCAAGTCATATGAAGAACGACAGATACTTTTAAGAATAAACCTTGGCCCCAGAGTATAGAGAGGAGAAGGAAAGGAATTGTGGAGGGGAAGTGGACAAGAGACAGATGCGAAGCAGTGGGGCCCTGGTCAGCGAAATCTGGTGCAGAGGTGCTGTTAAGGAATGATACAGTCACATATACAAAGCACAGAAATCAAGACACCCAATCTAACAACTGAACTCTGAAAGGGCCTGCTTCGAAAGGTGCCTGTCAGGAGGGCAGGCTCGATGGGGTGGGGGAGGCGGGCGATATGGGAGGGAACAGCCTAGGAACATCATTTGAAGGAAGTTGACACTAGCGGTGGGATCAGTGGTGCAATATTGTGTCTAAAACTCAGCTGTGAAGAAAAAACTCAGCATTATGGTGCTTTACTAAAAATGTGTTGATTGAAAGAAAAGAGTAAGTGGAAATACAATATAATATTAAGTGCTATGAAGAAGGTATACATGGTACATATATGGTTCATGAAAACTTAACACAAATGTAGAGGGTGAGTGGAATGTTGGATGGATATTAGGGATTATTTCATTGAGGAAATGAATTGATCTTATGAGTGGGCATTGGCTAGTTCCCTTCTACCACCCTCCTTCCCCTGGTCTGGAAAAAAAAAGTTGACAGGTACTCTGTAGAAGAGGAATAGCATGTGGAATGGAGCTCAGTGGGAAGAAACATGTGTATTTCAGAACAGAAAATATCTTAGACTTGAACCGTATTATGTGGGAGGTTACAGTGATTTTTCTTCACCTTTAATAGAAAGGCTATAAAGAACTATTTTAAAGAGTTTTAAAGAGGGTTACATCATATCCTATTTTACTGAATCCAAAACTCATTTATATAAAACATTCTTATTTCAGAGGTGTTTGAAGATGGTATTGCTAAGAAGTAAATGATAGAGAAAACCTTAGGATTGATTGAATTGGCAAATTCTTTGGGGGGGGGGGTGGAGGGAGGGTTTGATCACACCGCAGTGCTCAGGGTTTACTTCGGCCCTGCACTCAGGAATCACTCCTGGCCAGCTCTGGAGCAGGGCAGGGCACACATGACAATATGCAGTGCCAGGGATTTAACCTGATTTGCCTGCCAGGTGTGACGCAAAAAGAAAAAAGAAGGGGGGGGGGAATTTAAGTTGTAGATAAGATAGGAACAAAAGTAGCTTTTTGTTTCAACCGCACTCCATAGGGCTTAGGGCTGTGTCCAGTTCTGTGTTCAGGGTTACTTCTGGCATCACTGAGGAAACATTTGTTGCCAGGATTGAACCCAGTCCTTCTGCATGCAAAGCATCCACTCAGCCTTCTACTCTCTGGCCCAGCTTTTTTATTAAATTTAATATTTTGGTACACTTGATATAGTTGGTGTCGATTTTTTAATCCAGTTACTGTGAAAAATCTTAAATGAGGCACATTTAAGAATGCACAGATTTTTAGATAGGAGCTTAAGTTTAAGTGAGGTAGCAACAAAGGAGGTAACATAACAAAAGATTTGTTTACACTTCTGATTGGTAGGGGCCAGTTGTGAAAGGAGAGGCCTTGGTAGGGACTTGGTCTCTCTGGTGATGGCATGTGGTATAGGAATGATGTGAATCTGAAATTATCATTGACAGTTTTGTAAATCATAGTACCTCAGTAAAGATCTAAAATTTTTTTAAAAGAATGTATAGATTTTTTTCAAACACATTCCCAACATATTATTGGTGATGAAAAAAGAAGCAAAAATATTTGCCCTGTAGAACGTCAGGTACTTTAAAATATTGATTAAAGAATAACAACAACAAAAAAACCCTTTTTCAACTGCATAATTCAAATTAGAAGTATAAGAATAATCTCCAAATTCTAAAACGAAGAAGCTAAAAAACTGAGTGAAGAAACTGGATTGATATTATGGCTTACTTGGGATAGCTGCCAGTCTTGTTAACTGAGCAGTGTAGTTTTACCCTCTAACAGTGAGTAGACTCCGGTAGATGCCAGTACATAGGCAGGTATTGAAACTGATATCCAATGAAATTATTTCTAGAGGAGCTTTTTTATCTTTAAAAAAGGACAGACTAGAAAGATTAAAAACAAAATTCCTAAAATAGGGTATAGATTGCCATTGGTTGGAGATAAGGGTAAAGGTAAAGGCCCTCGCGTTGATCGTCGATTTGCTCAAGCGGGCCCAGTAACATCTCCATTGGAGACTTTGTTGTTACTGTGTCTGGCATATCGAATATTCTCGGTAGCTTGCCGGGCTCTCGGAGAGGGGCGGAGGAATCGAACTCGGGTCGGCCATGTTGGCCGCTTGTAAGGCGAACGCCCTACTGCTGTGCTATCGCTTCAGCGGCTCCAGGTTGGAGATAAACCAAACAAAAACCAATTTTTATCCTAAATTATTAGCACTGATAACTTACTAGGAAGTATGTAAAAACTCACAGTAAACACACTTTAGGTCAATCTTTAAATAAAGCTTTTTAAGAATAATAAAAAGAAAGTATCTTAAATTTATATTCATGGATCTGCATTCACACATGATTGGAATTTATTTTTTATTATTATTTTTTTCTCCCATCCAAGTATGGGCTGGAGCGATAGCACAGCGGTGGGGCGCTTGCCTTGCACGCAGCCAACATGGCCAACCCGAGTTCGATTCCTCCGCCTCTCTCGGAGAGCCCGGCAAGCTACCGAGAGTATCTCGTCCTCAGGCAGAGCCTGGCAAGCTCCCCGTGACGTATTCGATATGCCAAACACAGTAACAACAAAGTCTCCAATGGAGACGTTACTGGGCCCGCTCGAGCAAATCGATGAACAACGGGAGGGCCTTTACCTATTATTTTTTTATCAAATACCCATCCCTCCACCAGTGCCCATTTTCCACCACCACGGGTCCCAGTATCCCTCCCACCCCCCATATCCCCCATCCCACCCTGTTTCTCTGGCAAGGCATTCCCTTTTCCAGGCATGGTTTAATGGTATTAGCTTTGTATCTTAAGTTTTCAATTATGGTAAATACAGAAAAACAAATAAAAATTTATTTCTGTATTTACAAGTTCATACAAGTTCACAAACCTACCTTAAGGGGATTTGTGGACTCCTAATTTAGTATTATAGAAGTGACTCTCAATGCATGTCTGAGGAGAGTAATACTGTAATTCCTTTGTAGTGTTGTAGTAGATAAAAATGGGAAACAACCTAAAGATTTTCTGGTAGGAGATTATATAAATTGTGTTCTATCCAAATGAATTGCTTTTGTGAAATTTTAAGATTATATAAAGAGTAAACTTTGCATGGTAATGGTATGCCCAAACTCAGATTAACGGTTATTCGAGGGTAAGAGGTACAGGGATGGGAAGGACAACTAGTTTCTTCCGGACTTTTAAAACATGTGCCACACCCAGCCATACTTAGTGGGAACTAGGGGATGCTGGTGATCAAGACTATGAAGCATGTGCTCCAGCCCTTTGAACCTCTCTCCCTGCCTCCACCTAAACATTTCCTAAATCAACTCCAGCCTTTCTTTTCTCACACTGTTAAGATAGGCTGATGAACTGTCATTAGTAACTTTAATGTTGTTTTCTATTTTATATTTATAGTATTGGTTATTATAATTTAGTACATAAGCCTCTAAATTTAACGCTTATGATTTGTTGTTTTATCATTTTAAAACCACTTTTTTCTTTTTAGGATCGAAAGTTAACAAAGTCTGAGAGGCAGAGATTTAAAGAGGAGGCTGAAATGTTAAAGGGTCTTCAGCATCCCAATATTGTTCGATTCTATGATTCCTGGGAATCCACATTAAAAGGAAAGAAGTGCATTGTGTTGGTGACTGAACTTATGACATCTGGAACACTTAAGACGTAAGTGCAAACATTTAAGACATAAGTTTATCCGTGTTTTAAAGATGACGTGTTTTAAAAATTAAGTAGCAAATTTAATTTTTTCTCATTTTAGATTATATCTGTCCTTTTTTTACCCAGCACACTAAGTTCATCTTTACAGCTGTTAATATATTAGCACATTTTCCTCCCCCAAAGTCCTCTAGTATGTCTAAAGTAATTCGATATTAATTTATTGGTAAGTATTAACATTAGAAATTAAAAATAAGCCTCATTTTTAAAATTGTGGTGATTGGTCTTTGTAAAATGGCTAGGCAATCAAATGACAGGGTGGCCCTCTAGTGGTTAAAATAAGGTTGCCCTTACAAAGACTGCTAGGAAATAGATGGAGTAAGACCTGGGATTGTCTTTTAGAGCAGCATTGTTCAACGTTTTACGCCTTCGTGCCAGCACCTGTTCTGCATGCTGGCACACTGGACCGGCATTTGTAACTAAGGAGGAAGATCAGTGGTTTTAAAACTTTACACTGGCAGACTGCTGGTTTAAGAATGCTAATGTAGAATAACTAGTATCAGTTATTATATGGTATAAAATTTTTACTGTGGAAGAGTTGGATTTTAAAATTAGCTCGGGGCCTGGAGCAATAGCACAGCAGGTAGGGCGTTTGCCTTGCATGCGGCTGACCCAGGTTCGATTCTCAGCATCCCATATGGTCCCCCGAGTACTGCCAGGAGTAATTCCTGAGTGAATGAGCCAGGAGTAGCCCGTGCATCGCCGGGTGTGACCCAAAACCCCCCCCAAAAAAAATCTCTGGAACATACCACCTTCTTTAGTTAATCCTACTGAGTTGATTAATCCCATGTTTTTTAAACATTTTTTTTTATCTCTTAGAAGTAATTACTTGCATGTGCCCATGGATGCTCAAGATTAACATGTGGAAAAGCCAATTGATTATTCTGCCCTTGCAAATAATGATTTTCTTACCCAACTTCTTTATTTTAGGACTCTGCCTGAAACTTGAAAAATATTTAAATGAATTTGAAAAGTGGTCTAATAGTTTTGTGCATATCTGCACGGTCAAGATTCCTTTCACAGGCTTGCATTCTCAGTGGATTGTCAGCTCTGTCAGGCACAGCCTGCAGAAAGACTATATAGCAGTTGACTTATTTTAAAAATGAGACTGGAAGGCCTTGGAGAACTTCTGTTCTGGAGGCACCTTCTTCGACCAGCAAACTAAAATATGGAATATACTAACATCTTTTTCAGTACATATTTAAGCTTCAAAAAGAAGAAGAGAGAGTAATCTTTCAGAACTAGGGAGATGACCCAAAAGGATATAGAGCCTGCAGGATATTTTACCTGTAGGATGCCTGTGCTTGATCCCTACCTCTGCGTGAGGTCCCCATGAGCACTGTTCAGTCTGCCCCTCAAAGGGAAAGAAGAAAAGCAAAGCCTCTGGACAGAAAGCAAAGAAGAGAAACTGGCCCTAATGTCTGTTATGATTTCATACCAGATATGGGACTTTAGGAATGAATATTAAACCTTTTTTTTTTTTTTCTTTTTGGGTCACATCCAGTGATGCTCAGGAGCTCCTCCTGGCTCTGTTACTTAATACCTTGGGGGACCCTATGGAATGTTGAGGATTGAACCCAGGTCAGCTGCATGAAAGGCAGACGTCTTACCTACCCTGTTTTACTATCGCTGTGGCCTGGACTTCTAATGTTCATGTAAGGACAGAGGCTATAGAACTTAGTTGAAAGGGGAACTGGAGCTTAACTTATATAGTAGGAAAAACATTTATGAAAAGTAAGAGTTCTGTACCTTACTCAGTGGAAATTGTGAGGAATATTTTGATATTTTGTACTTTTGCTCATGACTTTGGATGACTAGAGAAAATTGGAAATCTCAGTCTAGGTCATATGTAAACTACTGCTGGAATCCCAAGCCAAGACATGAGCATTGTAATGGGGTTAAAAAGGAAAAAGGAAAAAGGATAAGGTATGTTTTCACACATCATTGCTCACATATCTGTACTTGGAAAAATAAGAACAAATGGAAACATTGGTAGCATTTGGAGATAACACATGGCAAAGCGGAAGTTCAAAATGTGATTTTTGGGTCTTTTGAGTTTCTTTGTTCCATATTACATATAAATACTTGACTCGAAACAAATGTCCATATATATGTAAAATTGGATGGGAAGATATGGATTAGAAAATTTGATTCAGGTGATGGAAATAACTTAGACATTTTAGAAAATTGCAGTGAAACTCATATAAAATTAGCCTTTTAATATTACACAGTTCTGGGACTGGAGCGATAGCACAGTGGGTAGGATGTTTACCTTGCACGCAGCCAACCCAGTTTCAATCTCAGCATCCCCTATGGTCCCCCGAGCACCACCAGGAGTAATTCCTGAGTGCAGAGCCAGAAGTAATCCTGTGCATCACCAGGTGTGACCCAAAAAGCAAAAATAAATAAATAAAATTATACAGTTCAGTGGCATTTAGTACATTCGCCGTGTTGTATAATCAACATATCGCTTAAATTTCTAAACGTTTCCGAAGGAACTCCCCAGCAGTTCAGGGCTCACCCAGCTGTAAGATGCTGCTTGGTGCTAGTAGGGCTAGTAGGCTACTCCAGCATGATGGGTGGGGTTGGGAGGAGTGGGCAGAGTTTGGGTCTGTGTGTGCAGTGTAGGAGCTCTGCCTCAATGTCACGTCTCCCCAGATGCCCTAGCTCTTTGAATCCTCTTACTACAAATACCCCTCTTCCATGTCAGATTTTCAGTTGCATCTGATCTCAGTTCTTAGGCATTTTTCTCTTTCTTTTCTCATCATTCTTTAGTTCAGTTTCTGAATCACGGAGGCCAAAGGTTCTGAAGGGTACGTGTAAAATAAAAGCATCTCTAGAATTTATGAGTGGGGATTTTTCTTTTTTGCTGTGATTAAAAGAAAATGTACTATCTTAATTATTTTGAAGTATGTGTATAGTTCATCAATGTTTAAGCACATTCACTTCGCTGTGCAGCCTATTTCTGGAATTTACCTTGCAAAACTTAAAAAGAACTTCCCACTTCTCCGTCCCCACTAGCCTCTTCAAACCACCAACTCACTATTTCTTTCCTTATGGATTTATCAAATCAAGATACTTATTTATAAAAATGGAACCATAAAATGTGTTCTTTTGTGTCTGGTTGCACTTTGCTGTCTTTCCCCTCCCTGCCTCTCCCCTTTTGCTTTTTGGGCCACACTCAGCAGTGCTCCGGGGTTCCTCCTGGCTCTGCACTATGTGCAAGGCAAGCACCCTACCCATTGTGCTGTCGCTCCAGCCCCACACTTGCCGTGCATCAAGCATCATATTGTAATAGCGCATCAGTACTTCACTCTTCTTTATGATTATTTCTTTGCGTGGACATAATACAACTTGTTTTTCCAGTCATTCATTGATAGACTTTTGGATTGTTTCTGCCTTTGGCTGTTATGAATAGGAGTGCTGAGAAGAGATGTGTTTCAGTATTTGAGTGCCTGTTTTTTTATTTTTATAATTTTCATTTGGTAGGTACCTACAAGGGGAATTGATGCTTCATATACTTCTCTGTAACTTTCGGAGAAGCTGTCTTAGAGAAACTCTCTTGTATCGTAGCTATACTGTTTTACATTCCCATCAGCAGCATGTAAGGGTTCTAGTTTTTCTGCTAACATTTGTTTTGTTTGTAATTTGTTTGGTCTATTTTTTAAAAACTATCCTGCTTCTTATGCCTAGGTTTTTCATTGTAGTTTAGATTTGCAGTTCCCTAGACACTGATAATGCTAAGCATCACGTTGTATGCTTTTTGTATGCTTTGTTATATTTCTTAGGTCTCCACAGAGAGAGATATTGAGATATGAGATATTTTTTCCCTTTAATTGTGGAGGTGATGACGCCTACACACATGTACACGAATAAAGCTAAACTCCTCATATTCCACAAAATTTCAAATCAGTAATAAGTTGGTAAATTTTCTTCTAGAACTATACCTTTAATTTTTGTTCGATATGTAAATAATTCTATACAATGGCTGGAGCGATAGCACAGCGGGTAGGGCGTTCGCCTTACAAGCGGCCAACATGGCCAACCCGAGTTCGATTCCTCTGCCCCTCTCGGAGAGCCCGGCAAACTACCGAGAGTATTCGATATGCCAGACACAGTAACAACAAAGTCTCCATTGGAGACGTTACTGGGCCCGCTCGAGCAAATCGACGATCAACGGGAGGGCCTCTTTATACTTTAAAATTTACATGAAATAGATCAACCCCACATATATAAAGCTTAGAATGAGGAGAGAATAATTGAGAAAATTTTAAGGGAAAATTCTGAATGGCACATAAAAATATATTTAATCTTAAGGGATATTGGCTTTATGCTAGAAAATATTATAGATAATGCTTTTATGTGTGTACATTAAAAGTGAAAAATTGTTATAAAAATACCTATAGATGTAAAAAAAACTCCTAAAAAGACAAAGCATTCAATATAGATGAAATATTTATTATTGAAACAGTGGAAATTTCTTTAGCAAGCTAGTAATAAACAGAATACTCTAAATCTAGTGGAGCACTGTTATGTCTTTAGAAAAAATTTCTTTCATCTTTTTACGGAACTGGTTTCAAGGTCATGAATTCCCCAAACTGTTGCCTGTTTATGAATCCTGTATTGTTCTTTCAAATCTGAATGATAATTTTGAGGAGAGAGTATTTTTAATGAGGTTCATTTCATTGTTAGTCCTTTTTTTTTTTTAAAAAAAAAACTATATTCATCCATTCCCTGTGGTTTGTAGAGTCACATTTGAAGTGCTGTTATTCCTAGAAGCTTTTCTTTGTGTGAGTTCCTTTTTTGATTTTGATGCTTTCCGTATCCTGTCTGTTTTGAAGTTTTGTCATTTTGATTATAATGTGTCTTGGAGACTTTCTATTTGGGTATATTTTACTGGGACCCTTTGGGCCTCTTGGATCTCAGTGCTTGCATTCCTCAACTCTGGGAAATTCTTATCTATGATTTCTTTAGTATTTCTTCATCCACTTCGACTTCCTGTTCTTCAGAGACTCAGAAGATTCATAAATTGTTCCTCTTGAACTTATCCCATAGTTCTCTGCTGTGTTACTTATTTCTTTTTAGACATTTTCCATCCTTTATTTTGGAGAGATCCTGCTTCTCATCTTGAAGCTCATCAATCATTTTCTTGGCCCCAGTTATTGCTGCTCAGAACTCCTGTTGAGTTTTGTATGTCACCCACCACACTTTGCTTTTATGTCACTTCTAATTTTAGTTCCTTCGTTTCCACTTCAATTTATATTTTACTCCTTGTGCAATCAATTTTTGGAACTCCTTAAACATCCTGAGCAAGGCATCACTAAAGACATTCCGTGAGGGTTTCCAGAGCTGGTTGGTTAAAGCCGTCTGTGTTGTTATTTTCATGCATTAAGATTGGTGTCTTCCCTATTGTGTTTGCTCTGCTCCTGCTGTGCTGAGGGTAGTTAGCACTCCTGGAAAACGCTCAGTCTCTAGGCTGAGGCTTTTCCTTCCTAGCCTGCTTCACCCAGTGATGGGAAGTGTACGGATGAGCAGTGGGAGATGTGAGCAGAGCTGTCACAGAGCTGACTGATGGCTGGCTACTGGGTTCAGGAGATGAGAGAAGAGCCTGCTGTGATAGTAATGGTAATGCAGCTGAGACGGCTGCTGGGTTCCAGTTAGAAGGAAGGGCATTCCACTTTCAGTTCCAAAGAAGGGCACTAAGGATGTCAGTTGGGAAGTTACCTGCACCTGGAAGGTTTGATGAACAAGCAGTGGGTCTGAGATCTGGTGGACCTTCACTGATGGGAGAGGTCATGCATGGAAGCTGCCCCTGAAAATATGGCAGCTCTTCAAGCAAAAAACAAAATAAAACTAGAATTAGCTTATGATTCTGCATCTGGATATGTACCCAGAAGAAGCAAGCAAGCTCTCCAAGAAAGGTTTGCATACCTATATTCATAGCCATATTTTTTACAAGCTAATAGCAACCCAGGTGTCCATCTGTAAGAGAATGGTTAAGCATAATATGATCTATCTTTACGATGGCTTATATTGAACCTTTAAAGGGAAGAAAATTCTGATGTATACTACAGGATGAATGAGCATTTGGGGCATTAAGTAAAATAAATTAATTACAGAAAGACAAATACCATGATTCCATTTATATGTGGTTTGTTTATCTAGAGTAATCAAATTTGTGAAATAGAAAGTGGAATGAATACTGATTGCCAGGCCGGAGGGGAGATGGGGATGGGAAATTGCTTAATGGCACATTGTTCTAGTTTTGCAAGATGAAGACTTCTGTAGATGTATGATTATGATTCCAAAATAATCTGATAATCTTGAGTCTTAATAGTACTTAAAAATGGTAAATTTTGTGTTATGTGAAGTTCACTGTAATTTTTTAAAACTAAGGAATGGGGTTCTGGTTACAGAATTTTCTAAAAACAATAGAGGATGATGGAGCTCAGGGTTATTCAGTGACTGAAAATGCTTATCTTGAAAATACGAGGCTTGAGTTTGATTCCTAGAGCACAACAGGCAGACATGCTGATTCTGTGCTGTCCTCAGCTTCTATAAATTTTCTTTTAAGTTTGCCACTTTAATAATCTTTGTTTACCTCCCCTACTATTTCCAGGTAAAATACTTTTGAAGTCAGTCCTCAAACTTTAATTTTGATCTTTCCTTTGGTAGCATTACTAATCTTCCCTTTTGGGGGGGTGAGCCTGGGAGGAGGGGATAATGGTGTTTGGCACACCCAATAGAGTCAGGGGCTATTCCTTGACTCTGTGCTCAGGAGTGACCCTCGAAATACTTGGGTACTGGGCATGTAGTACTGGGGATTTCAACCAGGGTCAGTGAGATACAAGGAAGTCTTATCAATTCTCGTACTCTCTAGCTCTAAATTTCAATTTTCTTAGAATTAGCTAGGATTCTTAGAACCTGTCCTGTATATACATATTTCCTAGATCAATCAGATTTGGGCAGAATGAATATATAGAATTTGGGACTTTCTGGGATTTCTCCCTTTTCCTCTCGAGGTCTCTGCTGTTCAGTGAAACTTTCTGTATTGTTTGAAGTGTTCTGTAATCTACACTTTGAAAAAAATTACCACTTGCTACATGAGGCTGTTGAGCATTGAAAATGTGTCTATTGCAACTGGGAAATGGATTGCTTTGTATTAATTATTCCGCATGTTCGTGACATAGAGAGTTTTATTTGACTAATGGACACTATATTCTAGAGCAGGGTGAGGAATCATTTTCTGTCAGAGTCCATTTGAAGATGTGTAAAGTCACTTGCAGTCCATAAAATACAAACAGATAGCAAGAAGCATATGACTCTCATTGTGTACTAGGGACAGACCATAGGGTCTTGTTGGCTGGCTGGGTCCCATCCCTATAGTAGACACTGTCATTACAGAAAGGTCTGTTAGGCCTTTCACATTCTATGAATCACCTGCCCTCATATTCTTCATCCAGTAAGGCTGCAGGTTTCTAGGTAGGTGTGTGCTTTCCCAGAGCTTAGACCTATAGAATGTAGGAAGCTGAAAATGTGCTTTCCCTTCCCCTCCACCATGAGTTCCCAATTTATGCCCGAAGTGTCGTCATAGAATTGTCTGTTTTTCATTAAATTTATAATTTTATCTGTGTGCATTAAGAATTATACCACTGTTAATCAGAGCTCTAAAATAATTTACAAATTAGTTTTATAGAGGTCTTATTTTAAGAATTCATTTCTCCCCCTTTGTTATCAGAATTTTTTTACCAACCACTTGATATTCTGTCCTCTTTACCCCTACTAAAAGTCCCACTAATCTTTAAGGTTACTGAAATCTAATATTTTAAATCGTATAGTTCCATCTCAGATATGCTAACATTTAATAGAATTCTTCAAAGCAGTTAAGTCATGTATTTTGATAACCATTTGATATACTTTGCTTCTTCTAGATACCTGAAAAGGTTTAAAGTGATGAAGATCAAAGTTCTAAGAAGCTGGTGCCGTCAGATCCTGAAAGGACTCCAGTTTCTTCATACTCGAACTCCACCTATTATTCACCGTGATCTTAAATGTGACAACATCTTTATCACTGGCCCTACAGGCTCAGTCAAGATTGGAGACTTAGGTCTGGCAACCTTGAAGCGAGCTTCTTTTGCCAAGAGCGTGATAGGTATGTTTCGGGCGTACCTTGCAGCTTAAGTAGCTTTTTGACACTCTTATCAGTGCTCTTATAAAATGGAATAAATGTTAAAAATTTAATAGCTTGAATCTAGGGAAGAGTCATTGCTGCCTCTGAATATATTCTTTATTTATACTTTTAGAATCATGTTGAATATTATGTTCTTTAAAGTTACTTGAAGAGAAGGTGAACTGTGTTGACAGAACCATTAGTAGTTATCAGTCTTCCTTTGTTATTATGTTGCTGCTTACAATTCCTACTATTCTTACTATTCCTATTACAGTATAGTATTTTTGCATGAAATCAAGTTTATTATATAGTTACTAAAATTATCTGTTGGATATGTGTTTGTGTATTGAAGCTTTGTCTTAAAATGTAAAAATGATAGCTCATTCTGAAAGTTTGGTTTTATTAGTTTCTTCTTTCTACCCTTAAAAAATTATGGTATCTGGGCATTAGGGCATTTGCCTTGTATGCTTTTGACCCAGGTTCAGTCCCCGGCACCCCACATGGTTCCCTGAGCCCTCCAAGAGTGATCCCTGAGCGCAGAGCCAGGAGTAAGCCCTGAACACTGCCAGTTGTGCCCCCGACCCACCCAAAAAGTTGTGATATAAACCCAGCTGGAGGATTTCTTTTTTTTCTTCTACTTTCTAATAAAACTTTCTATTAAAAAGAGAAGAAGATGGGAAGTACCCCAAACAGGGTTTTTCAACCTTGGTACTAATAACATTTTAGGTTTGATAATATTTTGTCATAAAAGCTTTCTGATATATATATTATTTGGCAGCATCCTGGACTCTGCTCCCTCAATGCCAGTAGCACATGCCTTTCTCTACCTTCTCTTAAGATGTTACAGCCAAAAATGTTTCAACATTGGCAAAATTGCCTCGTTGAAAATCACCAATGTATATTTTTTGGTGTATTTTTGGACAACACCCACTGGTGTTCAGGTGCTACTGAACAGGGGTTACTCCTGGCAGTTGCTTGGGCACTTTGCCCCAAAGTCTAGGGCTCGAACTTGGACTCCCACATGTAAAGCATCTGCTCTGTCCATTGGGTTTTCCCTTCAGCTTCTTTCAAACTCTATTTTTTTAAAAGCTACGGCTGGAAAATAATTTAATACTTATTTTGATAAGAAGGTCTTACATCTTCATGTGCACCTGTGTACTGACACTCCACAAAAGATACCAGTAATAAGAAAAGGACTCATTAACTTTTAAATGGGCTGGAATCCTGTGTATTAATACAAAAAAAAGAAAAACACAGGATGCCAGTAAATTATATATCTTTCTAAAATAGTTTTTTTCTTGGAATATGTAGTATGGATATGAAACGTCATTTTTATATTTTCTTACAATAGATTAAGAAGAGAAATGGAAGAATTATTTAAGCAGAATTTCCTTTTTGCCTACTTTGCCGGAAACATTTCTTTGTTTCTGCTTAAGATTTAAATCTCTGGCTCTGGTTTTTCCTGTTCAGAATTTTCTTTATGTTAAATCATAGTGTGGAAGCCTATTTTTGGAAATGTGTTATACTTTGAGGTATCCAGACTTAAACTAGTTAAAAACCTGGTCTCTGGGATCACATACTTTGTACTCTTAAACTCTTCCTACAGTAGAGTTTTCCAGTTGTGCATGCACATATTTGCTTTTTCTGTAGAATGTCTGTCACTATTTCTTTTATCTGCAGTAGGCTTATTTGTATACTGCAGGTGGGATGGTAAGTAGATGAAGAAAAGGGCTCTGGTGAGTGTCTTTGTAGACAATTACACTGATTTTTTCAGAACGTCAAATACCAGGTTTTTCATTGCAAGGCTTCCTCAAAGGTGAAAACTGATCAAATAGAGTATTAATGGTAAAAGACTACCTATAAACATTAACAGGTACCAGACAGTAGGGGGCAGACAAGTATTTTGCCCATTTTTAACCTTTCATCTTGCCTTAGATCCCATTGTATCTGCCTTCTTTCTCGCTAGTCTCTTAACCTTTCCTTCAATTTGTTTTCAGTATTATACCTCTATCTTGTTCAAGGATCTGTTTTGACTTTGTTCAACAGGAATTCATTTGAAATGGTAAATAGACACGCCCTTTAAAAATTTCTTATAAAGTCCTTGCAGTGGAAGATCTATAAGGTTTTTTTATGAAACAGATTGACTAAGAGGATCCTCCTCTTTTTTCTCTTTTTTTCCCCTCCACTTTTTTCTCTCTCACACAGGTCAAACCCTCTGCATCACTCTTCGGTGAGTAACATCTGCAACTTCCTCTCGCATTGAGTCTGAATCGTTCTTTTAATTTAAGGTACCCCAGAGTTCATGGCTCCTGAGATGTATGAGGAGAAATATGATGAATCCGTTGACGTTTATGCTTTTGGAATGTGCATGCTTGAGATGGCCACGTCTGAATACCCTTACTCAGAGTGCCAAAATGCCGCGCAGATCTACCGTCGAGTGACTAGTGTAAGTCTTCCCTGATTAGTGAGCTGAACTTAGATGACATCTAACAAATCCCAGTTCGGGTAACATCGATGTGCAAATGGGAACAATAGTAGAAAGCATAGTGAGGTGTTGGGGAAGAAGTCTTTGTTGTTCATAATATAGTGAGAACTAAGATAAAAATTAAACACCAGTTTATTGTTTACTTATGTAAATATTATGAGATAATATTGAAAATATTATCTATTGTTTTTTCTTTATTTACTTTTAATTAAGATACCAGTGGTTTCTTTTTCAGGCTACCAAATGTATCCTCCCAACACGGCAGAGTCTGGCAAACTCCCCGTGGCGTATTCAGTATACCAGTAACAATGATGGGTCTCATTCTCCTGACCCTGAAAGAGCCTTTTTAAAATCTGAGGGCTAGGATGAAGGAGACATTACAATCGATGAACAACAAGATGACAGTGATACAGTGATACCAGTGGTTTACAAAGTTGTTCATAGCAGAAATATTTCAGTCGTACAGTTTGCAACACCAGTTCCACCACCTGTGTCCTCAGGGTCCCTGCTGTCCCCCAGTTTGACCCTGTGGCAGGTATACAACAAATTTATTTCATATTGCTTGCTGCGGCAGAATTTAAAGAAATGAGCAAGTTACCTATTTTCCTTTTTTTTTTTTCTTCTTCATCTTCCACCCCCCCCCCCCCCCCCCCGGTGTGGTCATCAGTCAGGGCCTCAGAAACGTGAAAGATTATGCTCTTCCATTGAGTCATATCTCCTACCTCGTTACTTATTTTTTAACGCTCCTATTCTTTTTTTTTTTTTCCCTTTATTTTATTTTATTTTTTTTAAAGTTGTAGATTTACAATTTTTTGTGCTTTGGTTTCAATTATACAATGATCAGATACCCATCCCTCCACCAGTGCCCATTTTCCACCACCATGGATAATATCCCTCCCACCCCCATCCCCCCATCCCCCCGTCTCTGTGGCAGGGCAATCCCCTGTGTTTTCTCTCTCCTTTTGGGTGTTGTGGTCTGCAAAAGAGGCATTGAGTGGCAAACATGTTCAGTCCATAGTCTACTTTCGACATGCATCTCCCCTCCTGGGAGGATCCTCCAAACATCCTTTATTTGGTGCTCCCTTCTCTATCTGAATAGCCCTTTCCTCTAGGATACCCGGCTGGCCTCTAAGTTATGGAGTAATCCTCCTGGTGCTGATCTCAGCTAATCTTGGGTATTAATCTCATACTTTGAACGCTCCTATTCTAAGTTCTTGTTATCTTTTACTATAACACATAATTTCTGAGTTAATAGTTATTTTGTCATTTCTATGGCTGAAAATCTATTGTTATTTCTTTATTAAATTGTAAGTAACTACAGTTACATAAGGTAAAAGTAAAAATCATAATGTAGTTTGTTTTCTTTGCCTAAAGAAATATTCTCTTTGAGTTTTCCAGTAGAAACTAGAAATAGTTACCAGTATAAATCATGAAGATAAGTTGTACTATAATGAACGTGGAGACCTTTTACAAATGGTGTAAAAATTAAACAAAGTAATCTTAGAGTATTTTTTAATGTTTTCTATTAAATAAAGTTCAGAAACACGTTAAAGTAGCTAGAGTAGTATAGTAACTTCCCATTTATTTTCTGTAACTTGAATACGAAGGCCGTTTTTTGGTCTACTTTATCAGTCCTCTTTGTTTCATCAGTTCATTTTGCCATTATGTACTTAATAATAATTCTCTAAACATACAGATTTTGGATCAGAGCATTAGTACAGCAGGTAGGACGCTTGCCATGCATGCAGTCGACCTCAGTTTAGTTTCTGGCGCTCCTCGAGATTCCCTGAGCCTCTCAGAAGCTGATCCCTGAGTACAGAGCCAAGGATAAACCCTGAGCACTGTCAGATGTGGCCCCAAAACAATAGTAGCAACAATTAGGGGGAAAAAACCCAAGCAGTAATACAAATCTTTTCTTAAATAGCCATTTATGCTTGAAAAAATAAGCATGATTTTTAGATTTTTTAATACCATAAACTAGGAACTTCCATTAGAATGAATATTTTGTCTTTTGTTCTGAAACTTTTGCTCCAATTTATTTACCTGAGTTATATTCATTTGTTGAAATTAATTGGAATATTTAGCATTCTGAATCTATTCGTTTGCTTTGTCATGTCATTTAACTCCTCTCATATTTATGTGAACTGAAACACTTTACTTACAGTTCAGTAATTTAAAAATAATTTTGTCTTTCTCACTAATTTATGTAAGTGAAGAAATGTAGTTTTTCAGAGACTAGATCATATATTGCAGTATACTAAATGCAGAAGAACTTGTAAGCCGTAAAAGTTTACAAAAAACGTTAAGTAAAGTAAGTAAAGTAAAGGCCCTCCCGTTGATCATTGATTTGCTCGAGCGGGCGCAGTAACGTCTCCATTGGAGACTTTGTTGTTACTGTGTCTGGCATATCGAATACGTCACGGGGAGCTTGCCAGGCTCTGCCATGCGGGTGAGATACTCTCGGCAGCTTGCCGGGCTCTCCGAGAGGGGCGAAGGAATTGAACTCGGGTCGGCCATGTTGGCTGCATGCAAGGCAAATGCCCTACCACTGTGCTATCGCTCCAGCCCCACAAAAAACGTTAAACAATAGTAAACTTCTAAAGTTTTTTGTTTTGGAAAATGCTTTTTTAATCTTAAAATAAATATATTATTAACAGGGTTTTAGTATATTTTAGCTAGTTAACAAGCATTTAAACTTTCTGAGTTTCAATTTTTCTTTTGTCTTTGTTTTTGAACTACACCTGGCAGTGCTCTGGGGAGCTATACATGGCTGGGGGTCAAACCCAGGTTGACGATAATGGCTGGAAGTTGACTGACGCTGATGAGTTTTAATTTAAAATGTGGGCAAATCAAATACTGTAGATCTCTAGGTTTGTACTGTAGGTTTGATATGCAGATCAAATACTTTGCCAGGGATGGGGAGGCACACCCAGTGGTGCTCAGGACTTATTCCAGACCTTGTGCTCTGAGGTTACTCCTGGCAGTGCTCAGTAACCATATAGGGTGTCAGGGATTAAACCTGGGTCAGGCATGTGCAAGGCAAGCCCGTGCCTGCTCTTCTATTTCTCTGGTCCCAGACACGTTAAAAATACCCTCTAGGATACTCTTTTTTTTTTTTTTTTTTTTTAAATGGTGAAGGGGTACTGAGCAACAAGTTTGAGATAAAGGCTTGGTTAAATTGAAATCTTTTAAGAATTGATTCATCATTGGTTTACAGTATTATGGCATTTTAGAATTTAACTTTATGCTTCTATATGTGTATTAAGTTCATCACATCTACCACCAAAAATTCAAGTGCCATCTACCACCAAAAAATTCATTCCTCACCACATTCCCCTCTTCTCTGGTTATCACTGTATTTTTCAGTTAGTTCAACAGTGTTGTTGGTTTTTCTTTGCCAATTCATTTGCTTTAGTTATTAATGTTTCACATGAGTGAAACCACCAGTAATTGTCTTCCACATATTTGTTTCACTTATCATAATCTAGGTTGCGTATTCTTTGCAAGAATACTTAATATAATGCTGTGTTTTATGGTAAATTACACATGGTGTCTAGCCTGTTTTCAGTAATGCAATTTCATTGAGTCTTAATATATTAAAGTATGTGGTTATAAATTAGTTATGATTTGAGAGCTGGTTAAGTGGAATCATTTTAAAAACTGATGGGAAATGCCTTGGTTTAGTTAAACCAGATTAGTTTTTAGCTTAGTCTTTGCATTTTTAAAAATTGATGTAGTGTTAGATTGTAATAATGTAAATATTGACCTTTTTTAAGTGGTAGAGTTATCACACCATATCCACTACCATGATGCCCATATTCCTCCATCTCTATGCGTAGGAACCCTTTCCACACTGTCCTTCTTACTCCACCTTGACAACTTCAGTTCTGTTGTCAGAGTCTAAGGAATTGTTACTGGGCATTGTCTTACTGTCCTATTTCTTTATATGCCATATACCAATATCAAAAGGTGTGTTTTGCCTGTGTTTTCTTCACTGTGTTATAAGAATTAAGTCTAACATTTAAATCTAACCCATTTTGAGTTAACTCTTGTTAGTTGTGTGAGATAGTGGTCCAGTTTCTTTCTGTTACTGTGGATAATTCGTTTTTCCAGCTCTGCTGAAGAGAGTTTACTTTCTCCATTTAATGAGCTTGGCTCTTTTGTCATAAATTAACTGTCAGTATGCTGAGAGTTTATTTCTGTGCTCTCTCTCAACTTAAACCAAATTAGTTTTGCAGCTTCACAATGGCTTGGGCATACTCTTACTTACATTTTTTTTTGTGAAAGGATGCTATAGGCCAAATAAGTTTGGAAACCTTTAGTGTCCTCTTTTGTATGTGGTTCTGCTGTATGATGCGTGTGGAGCTACTTGAGGATTTAGCTGACTTAATTCATCATGAATTAAATAGTAAGAACTATTAGTGTCGTAGAGTCAAATAAAAATGTTTGCATGGAAAAGGAGCATTACTCTCAAGCTATTCCTGACTTTGTAAACTATTAGTATTTCTAATTATCTAAGTCTCTTTCTTGTTATTAATATATATGTGTGTGTATTATTTACATATATATAATATATATACACACACACACACACACACACACACACACTCTTCTTTTCAGTACCCACCACTGTATCCAATGGGATTATAATCCGTGATTGGGCTCTCTAAAGCAGTTACTATTAAACTTGTTAGAACCATAGGTCGTCGCCTGCTTGTAATGGTAGTTGAAAACTACTGCTGTTAAAAAAGCACCCTTTCCCAACTGTGGCCCCGTTCAATTTTGTTTTCTTCCTGTAGCCCCCCTGCCCTCCTAACTGGTATGTATGGTACTGTGCTTTCTCCCAACCCTTCCCTTCTCCTCTTATGTAATATACACCTGTGGCCCCCGTGTAAATCACTGATCTTCAGTTTAATTGTGGAGGTCAGGGAAACACAGTTTGTTTAGCATTCCGGTGAATC